TATATATATATATATATATATATATATACGCATATACATAAGTAACATAACATAGGCCGCTCGTGGCGCAGTGGTTGGAGGCGCCACTTCTACACATATGTTGAATTTATCCCCGTGCCCATGGCTCGGCAAGCCTTCCATCCGTTCGGGGTCGGATTGGTACCAGGTCTGGGAGGATAGCAGCGCTGGCTCGTTACATCGATAGGCCATCGCGAATCATTCTAATAGGCAGATATGCAATCAATCACCCCAAACGTTGCTTAATGAAGTCGTATGCATGGCGCATCCCTTAGGAATTGAACAATGCCGAGAGCTTTCTTAGCTTTATGTATATACATATATGCTAGCTAATTGTAAGGTAATTATAATACAGGCAAAAAATTGGTATTTGCTGATCATCTACATCTGTTTTGCTGCCGAATTTTCTATAAATCGTTTCTGCCTTCCTAAGCATTCAAACAAGTGAGATCACGCTCATAGTGAGAATGCGTCACAGAGCCTTTCCTAAATTGTCTACAAACATTATTAACCTCCTAATTTTTTGTTGTTGGAAACCAAACAATGCTTAGATGCCAAGAAAGGCTTACGTCCATAAATCCCGTAAAAGGCCCATTAATCTTATTGCGAACCTTCCTCAACTTTTTTATACCAAGTTGGCAAGCAATAAACAAATCGAAACGATGGATTAATATCATCCAGATCTGTGTCATTTTGAGAGTTCGCTTGATTATTTAGGAGACGAAGTCCTAGAATGGAATGGTCAAGTGCTTCAAAATGCGACATTTGATCAAGTTTATGAGATAATATCAGCTAGCAAGCACGAATACCAAGTGGAAATTATTGTCAGCAGGTCTTCCAGGTCCGTTTTCTTGTAAGCATTCTCAATTTGGGAATGGAAACAGCGGAACGATCTCACCTCAGTTCTGTGTCATTGGTTGATGACGTATTGTGGTTCATGAAAAAGATAGTAGATGGAGTAAAAACTTATGGGTTTCCAAAATATCTCTGGGCTCATTTAAATTGCAAAATAAGAATCATACCTTGCTCAAGAAATATTTCGGTGTTAACATGCACGTCTTTATGTAGCTTGCTCCTAACGTTTCGTACTTAGATTATTCATAATAATATATTCCAGTTTCCTTTGATTTGAAGTTTTATTTGGGACTTGTTGGAAAATCTCCTTCTATTTACCAGCTCTATTAGGATTCGTTCAATCGCTTTATAAGTCTTATCTTCGCAATATTCAGCGTACCTGGAGGAGACGACTTTTTAAATGTGCAAGCACCTGCCAGGCAACTTCCAAATTTGCAGTACTTCATGTCACAAGGTTCAATTCGGCTCTGTTTCATTTTCAACTCTTAAATTGAACAACATCGATTAAAGTTAAAGTACGCCGTGTGGGGAAATTGTGTATAAAGTATTCTTTCTTTCATTTCTTATTCTTTGAAGGACTTGTACCTGGGTAACGTTGTGTGTGGCAGCTTGGGTTAGATTAATGATCAGCAAAAGACGTAAACTGCAATAAAAAAGTATGCCAACAATAGCCTGAGTATCACCATCGATTTCAACTATGGTAAATTTCAACGGAACGCTGTGACTATAATACTATAATTAGAAGAGTTTAATAGTAGCTCTATGATAGCCAAACTTGAGAATTCAGAAACTGTATTGTATTGCTATTCCAACTTCTTATTTGCTGCCTACTATAATTTTTCACGGCAAGGTGTGATGCGAGATATAACTACAATGATGCTGAGATACTTGCGAAACTCCGGACCGCAGGTGTCTGCGGTGGGAAACGAACGCGCTATACCTTTTCCGGAGGCTAACGCGTTCACCACCACACCATGCGGTTCCATGCGGGATGTGGTTGTATTTCGCATCATACCCTCCAGTGGGAAATTATAGTGAGCAGCAAGTAAAAACTTGGCATTGTGATTTAAACTATAGCCTCTGCTTAACTGAATTCAATGCCGATTTGGGCTCCCCAGTTCAATCACGTTGACGGGTGATTACTGATGACACTGATCGATAGAACTAGCTGAATGACAGGCGAAACGAAGGTCCGGCATGGTGTGGTGGTGAGCGCGTTAGCCCCCGGAAAGGGCAATAGCGCGTTCGTTACCCACCGCAGACACCTGTGGTCTGGAGTTTTGCAAATATCTCAAAATCATTGTGTTTGCATTGTATTGCTATTTACAACATCTAAGCCCTGAAAGAACGTTACCTTATGATAGACATATCTGGAAATATTGCTGCTAACAATTTTGTGGACGGAAATGCTGTTTTGTCCAAAACTTCTTTTGTTGTGCATTTTATTTCTTTAAATGGTTATTTGGTTTTACATTTCGCCATCGTGGTTTTACGAATGTTTAGAATTTTTATTCTTAGCAGTGTAAGCCCATTAATCATTGAGTGACGTAGGAGAACACCAATAAACTCTCAATGATTGATTATGGGTGGGAAGTACAAATCGATCCGACATGTAATCACTGTGGTATAGCGGAACAGGGAGCCTTCCTCCTCAATCCATATACATCTGGGGAAATACGTGATCGATTTTCGTTCAACTTTAACATCCCATGAGCCACTTGTGGACGTACAACACACCCTAACGACTGAGCATCTTGGGATTTTTCACATAAATGAGAGTCCTAGTATTTAATATGAACACTAAGAAGTAAATAATGGAATTGAAATATCGATGATAGAAGATAAAGTATTTTAAACAGGAAATGTGTTTAGACAATGACATGTTCGCTTCTCCTGTGCCTTCCCCTTTGCTTCCCATACAGACGCTCTCCCATTCTCAATCTGCAATTCTTCCCCATCATCCGCAGATAAGCCTTCGTAATCGTGGCACTATGACTGGATTTGGACCAGGTTTCACTTTTCGTTCACGTTGTCTCGCTGTCTTTTGTTTGGATATTATTATGTGTTTATTGATAGTTGTGTTCTAGAGCAAAGAACAGCCGTGCTGCAAGAACAGAATTTCGGTCGTGGGCAAATTTTTGGAAGAATTGAGGTAAGAATTTGCTACGTATTTAGATACTTGAATGGCCCGTCATCACAATAAGTATTAGCCTTACACGCCTACTATTCTTTTGCTTCATGATCTTCGTCCGAGGTGGTGTTTTGATCCTAATAGGATAACGTTGGCTGGATCCATTCCGTGACGTGTAATTCGTTTGAAGCCACGAATACAACTCACTGGCTACCAACACGTCCATCCATCATGTAGGTCGGGATCTCCGGAAGGATCTGTTGCAATCCATTCTACATTCCTTTTCTTCTATATCTCATCCGTTCCTCTCGTCATGTTACCAGCCCATCCATCTATGTTTCGCCATCAAAGTGTAGAACAAGGAATTCGTTTAGAAGATTTGAGTTGTTCCGATTAGAGGCACAGCATTTCAACTATATTTCGAAAGAGATCACTCAGTCCTTCTGTGGGTACTGCGCAAAATTTCCGACGTGCTTGAAGTGTCAACTCGTTGCCCATGTCTAGTGAACAGAATGTTCAGTGCATGGAAAAGCAATAGATCTTATAAACTAAACGGTTTACATAATCCTCATTTTTACGGGATAGTGTTTTCTTGATATAACCTCAGCTTTCTTTTTAAGAATTTAAAGAAGAGGAATCCAGCTTAGCGATAGGGGTGCTCTGCAACAATGCGGCATTGTTGCTGCAACAATTTTGTGTCCTTGTGAAACAAAGCTTTCCACCTCTCCATTGTTGGCAGAACGGTGGTAGTTTGCTGGGAACATGAAAAGACAGATTTATACTGCGAAACTTATTGTATTGGTTAAGTATGCGTTTAGTTACCTCTGTAAATGGTTTCCTTTTACAATTAGAGTACGAATTGCGTTAACTCGATACCATATGCTTTGTATCAAAAGTCATATTTTCCGCTCAATTTGTCTCCAAACGCTATTTCTTGTTTAACGTTTTGTTTTCTGCTTTCTATAATTTTCATGGCAGGTTACTAAGCGAAATACAACCACAACGTTGCTGAGATATTTGCAAAACTTTGGACCGCAGGTGTCTATGGTGGGGAACGAACGCGCTATTATCCTTTCCGGGGAGTAACGCGTTCACCACCACACCATGCGGGTCCTTTGTTTCGCACGTCTCTCAGCTATTTCTATCGATCTTTTTGCCACAGCAATCACCCGTCAGCGGGGTTGANTTTAACGTTTTGTTTTCTGCTTTCTATAATTTTCATGGCAGGTTACTAAGCGAAATACAACCACAACGTTGCTGAGATATTTGCAAAACTTTGGACCGCAGGTGTCTATGGTGGGGAACGAACGCGCTATTATCCTTTCCGGGGAGTAACGCGTTCACCACCACACCATGCGGGTCCTTTGTTTCGCACGTCTCTCAGCTATTTCTATCGATCTTTTTGCCACAGCAATCACCCGTCAGCGGGGTTGATCGGGGAAACAAAGGACCCGCATGGTGTGGTGGTGAACGCGTTACTCCCCGGAAAGGATAATAGCGCGTTCGTTCCCCACCATAGACACCTGCGGTCCAGAGTTTTGCAAATATCTCAGCTATTTCTTGTGCTTAATTTTTCACCTTTAGCTGAAATGCGGATCATAATGTTAATAGAAGCCTAGTATGGTAGTGCTACTCATGCTACTTAGTATACTACTCATCACGAGCGCGGTGCACGTTCTACCCCGCTCCGGCTTACCATGCTAGTTATTCTTCCGTGGTCGAGAAATTGCCACCAAGCCTGTCTGCGAAAAGTTCACTGCGCGATCTAAGTGGGAACTGTTTAGTCCGGCTATCTCAGTGCTCATGGGGTGTCGACTCAACGAGTATTCAACGACATTCGTAACGAAAGGAGTATCTTGAAATAGCGGTCAAACTCACTAGCAAAAAGCTGGAAGGCCTTTGTGGATTATGCATGCGAGGAAAGGAATCAAATGCAAAAAATGCCAGTGTCCACACAGTGGCTGTGAGGACGGCTGCACAACTACTGATTTTTAACTTTTTAACTGACAGATGAGATATTCCAGACGGTGTCAACACCTTGGGTTTGGGTACAAATGTGACTGGACAGCTTAAAAATAGTAAAATTTAGATTTCTTTGTATTTTTCCCATGCGGAGAGGCAGTTGACTGTATGCATCGAACGGGCTGCTGATCTTCCATCTCGCGCCGACGGTTCACCGAGAAATCCTTACGTGAAGATATTTCTACTTCCGGATAGAAGGTGATTTTAAACGAGCATTTTTATTTCAACATTCCGATTTTCGACATCGACGATACGGTTTATGTGATATGTTAGATCGATAGTTAAGAGCTTTAAACCTAGGTAACTTGAAAATGGTCATGTGAGAAACAGCCACAGTTAGTGTTCCTTATTGTTAAAAAATTAATGGGTAAAATACCTGCACCTATTATTATACAAGACATCAAAGGTAGCTTGTATTCTGTAGTGTAGTTTGTAATTGTAATTTTCTGTAGAAATATAGTTTTGGTGAGCCCCAACCTAACTGGAAAAAGGAAGTTGTTCGTTCACTTAAAAGCTTCTCAATGACCTGTAAACAAACATGCTTCAGCGAGAAGTCTAGACGTCAAACGACCGTATTAGCTGAAGCAGTGACTCCAGTTTGGAATGAGTCGTTCTATTACCAGGGAATTACTGAACCGATGTTAATGGAGCGAGTCTTAGAGGTTTGACCGGAATATATTCACCAGAAAAAATATCCAAAAATTTCAGTGGGAAAATTATAGTAGAAGGAAAGCTAAGATGAGAGAACTATAGAAGAAGTATTCCTTAATTTGTTTTTAACTGTGACATGTGTTACTATTTTAAAAAAGCCAAGGAAAGGTTATCATTATCCCCTTAAAAGAATTCAATGACCCAATAACACTTATTTTAAAAAGCTTCATAAAGTTCTGCAAAGGAAGGTAAAAGGGAAAGTAGAAGTTCCTGATTTTAGACATTTCTAAGGAGACCTTGTCGTATGATTTAAAGCAAAAAAAAGCTGTTCAAACAACTTGATTATGTCTTACTGATACAGTCATGCGCTCTACAAACTCTCTGTGGTCAGAATTCTGATAATTTTTTACCCTACAATTTCTGTTTCATCTTTTAAACACCTCATGAAGTGTGTCCTAGAATTTTCTTAAGTAACGTTTTGTTCTTATGTTTTGATGAGCAACTCTTTAGTTTCCTCCTAACAATTCGACATAGCAGTATCTTCGAATATGAAGTAATTTTTGAAGCCTGCAGATGTAGAGCTATTGGTAGAGAGCTTTATGTTTTACGATTGAAGCTCTTAAGAGAGTCCAAAGAAAATTGTATGCTTAAAATATTTGGAAACGATCTCGAAATTCTTCGTATTCTTGTTGAGCAAACGCGAGGTGTTATTTTTATTCTTTATTCACGATCTCGAAATTGTTGTTTAGTTACAGCTTAAAAATGTTTTTATAGGTGACCGTTTGGGACTACGATAAGTTTGAAGCAAATTCCTTTCTTGGTGAAACACTCGTAGATTTCTCTACTGCTTCGCTTGACGGCCAAACAATGGCTTTTCCACTAGTCGACATGGATGACGAAAATCCTCTACGTATTGTAAGTTGACACGTATATGAGACCTTACATACATGCTTATTTATATTTACATACACGATTTTTCATTATGTGATTTAACCATCCAAGAAGTGGTTTATTCACCAGACTGGTTTGTAATGTATTGTTGTTTTCACCAAATGTTCCAATTTACTACGTGTACTATCTTCTTCTTTTTGTGGCGATTTCGCAGCAATAGGAATTTTGTTTTATCTGTAAATATAGAGTTTTTATTCCTTTAATTTCTATGTTTTTTTGGCTGTCTTAATAATTACCTTGAATGAAGGCCATTTTTTCGGACGATGGAGTGACAAACCATCGATAAAGTCCCTTCTATGATTTTTTCCAAATCTAAAAAAGCCTTTATGGATGTGCCGGTCGCTTGAAAGTTTGAGAAATTGTTGCAATTGTGAATAGAGATGGTTTCTCATGTAATGAGGACGTTGGTTAATTTTTTGTTAGTATCTCTAAACTTTGGGTATGGGTATTGCTTGTCAGGCCAATTTCAACCTGAGCCGAAATTGGCCTGACAAGCATTACCCATACCCAAAGTTTGCCACAGATGATCTCTAAACTTTTCTTCCTTTTTTTTATGAAGATCCTATTTTCGCATTGACATTTCCAGTATTGATTTTCTGATACACTAGTTCTTATTCGTGAAATTCCGACAACTTCACTGAAGGTAGTGGCTAACCGTAGACATACTCAAATGCAACCTTATAGTTCAAAATAGGAGCGTCTGAAATGCATGCACTTTTTCCCACAAGTTACTACATTGCTTATATAGCCTACCTTCATATATACGGTTCCCAACAATTCATCAGTTCATAACGCTATCATGAAAAATTAGTCTACAGAGGGAGTTGGTTTCTTGTGGTTGGGCTGGCCTCCAACAACACGAGGATCTGTTATGTTCTCTCATTGGCGGCGATGATTTCTATGGTAGCGACGAATCCTGTCGAACTAGTCAACCGATCGCCTGAGAGTGATATAACTGCCGTAGATATGCAGGCCTTTTATTCCTGTGGGATAGAACTTTGGAATTCTGGAAGCGACAAATTCTTCAGGAGCATTTTCAGCATCGAATAGGTTGCTAAAAAATTTTTTTGAAATTGTTGAGGCTCTTGGAGGTGTAATCGGCTAGAGAACGAGCTTTTGGCGAGTTATCCAAGGTTTCGTAGTCCAAGTTGTTTAACTTTTGCAGCGTTCTTGGTGCAGAATGTGGTTGGACATCGTTCAGCAACAGAATTCATTGACCGTTTTCTATGATGAACGTTCCTGTAGTTATTGAATATTGTCCCTTTTTTGGCAATATTTATGATTTAGATGATTTTGATCATTTAGCTAGGAATGACGAAGTAACAGAGGGTGAAAGGAAGGACTCACAGGGAATTCATCTCTCGTAAACAACATACGGGTCGTAAACATACAATCCAATGCCCAGGTTAATAGAAGGTCGATCCTGAGAAAAGTTAACATTGACATTGTTAACATTAACATTGTTGTAAAATTTATTCACAAATTTCATAAACATTACTACAGCCTTTATTATAAGCGATCAGAGATCAATTTTTGTCTAATTACATTGTTCGCTACTCGTTTTTTAGGCCTTTAGGTTTTTTAGGATCAAAGATCGTTATCGCACTTTGGTTTTTACAGAGGCTTAGAGACAGAAAGATCAAACGCTTTCGTTCCATTGGTCAGCGACCTCGAAGCGAAATGAGTTTTGTGAATAATGGTAATTCGTTGCCTTACACTAATATTGGTAAGTACTGCTAGATTTTTCCTGGTTATTCATGTAATCTTATGCTGGTACAATATTTTTCCGTCTCCTGGATGCAGTGTCATTTTTCGCCGGGTTAACTGAAAGGGATTTATGGACGCGAATAGAAATTACTTAATCGAGATTAAGTTAGACCAAATAGCCGCATTTGCATGATACTTACATTGTTTGTGGTTATTTTCATAAGAAATAATTTCGCTGACATCTGCTCAGATTCGTGAGCTGTACCGTAGTACCGTAGTACCGTAGTCCGTAGTACCTACTTGTGTCCGAGACCTCCTTTGACAATCCTTGAGAAACTCAACTGTAACCTTAATATTTGACCGCTGCAACGAATGTCACTGTTTAAAGCAATCGTCGCGCTTTTGGATTGTGTTAATCTGGATAATCTTGAGATAATTTGATTTTGGCAGTTCATGAATACTGTCACAGAACTACTGTTTGAAAAAGAGGCACTGTTCACCACTGTTTGGATGAATCTGCCGTTCTCTTTCTTACAGCAATCGCGAGGTTGTTATTCAACACACGTTTACTTCCTCACAAATGTACCACGTACAACACAACGGTAGCTGACGTTTCGGTAATATCGCCTTCTTCAGAGCCTGGAAGGGTACACTATTATGTATTTTACTGGGTCAGACGCTTCAACAACGCAAAGAGAAAGATGAAAATCTGAACAATAATTACAAGATCACCTTCTCGAAAAGCCCACCGTTTTTTATCTTCCATCCACCAAGGAAGAACAGCCGCTTAGAGTCGTATATGGTAGAATACTGCGCCACCCCATATCAGAAATCAGTTCTGAGGTATGGGCCCAAATCACGCGTTAACTCAGGGCATTCTTCTCTGCTATTCATTCTCGGATTTTTGGAATTTATCCAGAAAGGCTCGAGAAATTTGCGCGTTGATGTTTCAGTATCCAGTGCGATGATAGCGAATTTCACATCAAAATCGTCTCCGCTATTTTTGTATCTTATGCGTGCCTAGTGACGTGCCTTGTTTTGATTTCCGTTTGCCATCTGTGTTCTTTTATGCGGATACATAAAAGTTTGCCCGTCTCGCCGATATATTCGTCTCCACAAGTACTACAGGAAATCAGGTATATTGTACCTGAAATCGTGCAGTCACCGTCTCTGCCGTAAAGATAAATTACGCAAATCACCCGTGCCTAAAATGCTTGGTTTTCAGAAGGTGTGGGAAATATTTCGCGCAAATAAGGAGGTTGGTAATGGGACAGCGACTGGCACCAAGCCTTGCCATTGCGTTTAGGTCTAAAGTAGAAGTACCTGTTCTCGGTGTCTGGCCATTACTCTACTGCAGGTACATAGATGATTGTTTTATCGTCTTTTCTACGCAGGAGAAGATGGACAAATGCTTCGAATTATTGAACAAGCAGTCTGAGTACAGTAAGCTCACCCTGGAGAAACCGAGAAAAATCTGGTTTCCGTTTTTAAACGTTCAAATAAACCTATCAAGTAGCAGTTACATGACAAAGTGGTACCGAAAGCCAAGTAGCAAGAATATCCTCGTTCATTTTCCTTCATCCGAAACATATTTCGAACAGCCACCTCTGTGCGCGCAAGTAGGGAACTAAAGGAAGAATCGCGCAACTTGGCTCGGGAAATAGTCATCTCCAATGGCTACGAAATAGTAGTCCCACGAGATAAGTTTAGAAGGAGATCGGCGCTGTTAACGAAGGGTTTGGCCTAGGCAAAATCCCGTTTGTCTTGCCCTTCATTAGCGATGAAATAAGTGTAACGCTAAAGCGATGCTTAAGAAGGGTAGGTGTAGAGGAAACGGTAGCGATAGTTGAAATACACCCGGATACTCTACGTCGTCAGTTAGTTCGTAACCGCCTATATGACCGTCTATGTGGAACACCAAATTGCGTAATTTGCCCTTACGGCGGAGACGGTGACTGCATGATTTTAGGTACGATATGCCTGATTTCCTGTAGTACTTGCGGAGACGAAAATATCGGCGAAACGGGCAGACTTTCATGTATCCGCATAAAAGAACACCTAGATAGCAAACGAAAATCAAAACAAGCACGCCACCAGACACGCATAGGATACAAAAACATAGCACCGAAGATTTTGATGTAAAAGTCGTTATCGTAGGGAGACTAAAACAACAACGCGCAAAATTCTGGAGGCTTTCTGGAAAAATTCCAGTAATCCGAGAATGAATGGCAGGGAAGAATGCCATGAGATAACGCGTGATCTAGCCCCGTATCTCAGAACTGATTTCTGATGTGGGGTATGGTAGTAATCAACCATATGCGACTCTAAACGGCTGTTCTTCCTCGGTGGAGGGATAAAAAACGGTGGGTTTTTCTAATCGTGTAGTTGTTGTTCAAATTTTCATCTTTTTGTTTGCGTTGTTGAAGCGTTTAACCTAGTCAATTACATATTAGTGTACCCTTCCAGGCTCTGAAGAAGGCGATATCACCGAAACGTCAACTACCGTTGTGTTGTACGTGTTACATTTGTGTTGAAGTAAATGTGTGCTGAATAAGAACCTCGCGATTACTGTAAAAGAGAGAACAACGGATTTATAATCCAATGCCGAGGTTAATAGAAATTCGATCTTGGGAATTGTTTGGATATCTATCACTGCCCTTTCAGGAACAAAAACTCAGAGAGAGATTGTATTTGTTATTATGATTTCAGATTTCTTTGAAAATCCAAACTCGCTCTCACCCTTGTGAATTTGCTTAGCGAGTGATTTGAAGCGAAGAGCCTGTGCATAGCCTATCTATTCCTTCACTACAGTTGAAAATGGAAATAGTCTTCAATCTATGCTTGCAGATCACTATCCTGGTAGCACATTTCGTGCTTATTCGTCTGAAGCAGTAATGCGGAGGTCAAGAACATATGACAAGTCCGATCATTTACACGAAAGAGAATGCACCCCACTAAAGTAAGAAGCATTCCACTAATTCATCTTTGCGAAAAAATGGAAACGATAATGAGCTTTCTGTGTAGCTTAGAGGAAGACTGGTCAGTGCAACCATATTCCGGATATCTCTCCGATCATGCGTACTACCAACAATCAGCGCAGAAGACTAGGCATCGTCGTCCGAGAAGCGCTACTGCTATTCGATCAAGTACGTTAGCCTTCACCGCTCTATCCATATTTTATTTCACTTAATCATGGCTGTGACGTTTGCGAAGTGGTTAAATAATTGCTTTGTTCCTCCAAGGTTGCCTTTCCACAGAAAAAAGTCCGTCAGAGAATGGTATTGACAGAATTTAAGTGAAATGTTATGAGTTAAATCCAACAGCTCTGATGTGAATGCTTGGCTGTTTTGGCTGTTTACAACGCTATAGTAGATAGTAGTTAGGCAAAACATTTCCATCAAAATGGTCAGGACCCATATACAGAAAGCATGTGTTGGTTATGATAACCTAGGAAATAGTGTAAAAGCGAAGCTAATATGAGGTCTTTTTGCACTACAATGGAGCCTATGTTAATGGTTCTCTGACCAAGTTGTTTACAATTATCTGTAGGCATCGTAAAGTAGGTCGTATTTTATAAAACTGCAATGATGCTGAGATAAGAGCAAAGCTCGCAATCTCAGTGTGGCTTAGAACCCACTATTACTCTTTTCGAATGTCCACATACCATCCACCACACCAACCGAGACCCTTGCTTTGCCTTCCTCTCGGCCATCTTTTAACTCTATCAGTACTGTCAGCAATCACACACCGACGAGTTTGATCTGTGGACCAAAAACTAGCATTAAAAAAGAATAGGCAGTAAGGAAAAGCTAAAACGTTGTGCCTTCAACTTCTGTTCCAGCTTGACTGGAGTCGATGCCGATTTTTGCTTCTCAGATCAATCCCATTGACGGGTGATCGTTGACATTACTGATAGAGCTAAACGTGGCTGAGGGAAAGGCAAAGCAAGGGCCTCGGTTGGCGTGGTGGATAGTCTCTGGAAAGCGTAGTTGAGGGTTCGAAGCCCAACTGAGGTTCCGGATATTGCTCGATTTTCAGCATCATTGTAGTAATATTTCACGTAATTCTCTGCGATGAAAAAAGCTTAGGTTTGAATAAGAGTTGAAACATCCTTCATATATACTTACTTTTTATTTTCTGCCCTCTATAATTTTTATAGCAGGGTATTAGGCGAAATACAACCACAGCATTGCTGAAATATTTGCAGAACTCCGGACCGCGGGTGTCTGCGGTGGCGAACGAACGCGCTATTGTCCTTTCCGGGAGTAACGCGCTCACCACCACACCATGCGGGTCCTTCGCTTCGCCTGTCTCTCAGCTAGTTCTACCGATCTCTGCCATCAGCAATCACCCGTTAACGGGATTGATCTGGGGAGCCCACATCGGCAGTTCTGCAAATATCTCAGCAATACTGTGGTTGTATTTCGCTTAATACCTTGCCGTAAAAATTATAGAAGGCAGAAAATAAGAAGTAAACATTGTGAATTCAACTACAGCATCAGCTTAACTGGGTTTGCTGCCGATTTGGGTCCCCCAGATCAGTGCCGCTGACGGGTGATTGCTGTGGCAAAGATCGATATAACTAGCTGAGAGACAGGCGAAACGAAAGACCCGCATGGTGTGATGGTGAGTGAATGTCTCTGGAAAGGACGATAGCGCGTTCGTTCCCCACCGCAGACACTTGCGATCCGGAGTTTTCCAGATATCTCTCATGTATTTAAGTCTATAGGGAGCAACAAACTCCTTCTATATGACAGCTGCCGATGAGAAGGTTTCCACATCAATTTAGAAATCGCATTCTATCTTTGCTTTAAACTTAAAATTTTCGTTTTTCTTTATTGTCATGTTTTGACTTCCATTCAAAAATGCTCTTCTGCCATAAAAAGTTTAGTGCACCAAACAGCTTTTTCCAAAGAAAAAAGCAAAAAAAAGTTGACTGTGATTTCTAATTGAGAAATACTCAGTTTAACATGAAAGATATGTTCACCAGTGGAACGTTTGTCGAAAATCCTTTCAAGACAAGAAAAATTCTCCACAGAAGGCTTTATGCAATGCATAATTGCAAACAAAATATAAAGATGTTTGCAGCATTTTTACTTTTTACCTCTTCCAGTTTTTCTTAATATATTCTCGCATTAGGATCTTTCCATAGCAAGAAACTCACCGCGCTAAAATTGTTCTGTGTGTAGAGTTAAGACAAGCATATAAGTATGCCATATCATTGCTGTTCTCCCAGCGGTTTACCGCCTTCCCATGGTTGGGAGGTGTTTCTGGGTATCGAGTTGCGATGTACATTGGTGAATACATCCATTAGCAGGGGCTCCCAAGTTGAGAAGTAGTCCGGCGTTTCCATCAGGAAGCCCAGCCAAGAGTAAACCAAAACCAGAATCCACCACTACCTTGACATCAACCTAGTCGCGTGGTGGCAAATCACCCTGTTATCCACAAGTGCAGCAGCTGCCTGTGGTGGTGAGGACCTGGGGCAGACTTTGTCTAGACTGACCTCAGGACTCCACGAAACCGCAATGGTTAGACCTTAAAAACGCCTAAACAATGGAAATTTTCGCTAGGGCCTTCCCAACCAATTAGAACTGGTCATCCGAGTATCCGAGTATACCATTGCTGTATCGAATTTTCCACGTCTTCATGCATTGGAAAATTGCAGCTTTTAATTTCAGTGGCAGCTTCTGAAATGGGCACATCTCGATCGTATTATCGCAATCTGACTGAACATCGATGGGATGACGGAGAATTGACACCAGGTGGCAGGTTCGCTACTAGTTGTTTATTTTCAGTAAATTTTAACACGATTATGTTCGTTTGTTCTTTATTATCTGATAATCAGCATCAAGTGATTAGAAAGAGAAACCTCTTTTCATCTGTGACGCAAGATCTTATTCACTGTACAATCACGTTACTGTCAGTTTTCTGAAATGTTCTAAAACTTATAATGAGTCTGTTTCCTTATTTTTATATTCGCACATCATAGTAGCCATAATTCATTGCAGCGATTAGAAATGGGGTAACAATAACTTCTTGAACTTCTTCTTGAAATTGAACTTTTTCTTTTTAACAAGGCTCGTGTAGCACAGGGCTTAGGTTACCCTTCAATACACACTTGGCCCGTGGTACGATCCTGTACTATGATAGGCAACAACCATTTATCTCTTCGTAGTTGGTGACTTGAGTTAGACTTATTCGAGGGGATGAAAAAAACCACTAATTTGATACATTGATGACACTCGGCTCTTGTAGGCGCAAGATATGAATTCAATCATCTTTGCGATGAATAGTATTCCGATGTATCTCTACGAGATTTATCAACGTTGAACATTTTCGCTGGTTATAGGTTCCCACGATGCCAGTTTTGTGAGAACTTCCGAGAACGTTTGATAACAAATACTTGGCAGTTGGCTTCTTCATAGACATCTAAAAGACGTTCTCTTATCATCTAAAAGACAAAGACGCAGACACTCTACATTCTTCCGGTAGATTCTATGAACAGTACAAAAACCATGATTCATCAAAGGGACTGCGAAGGATGAAGAAATGAGTGGTTTCTGGCGTTAGCGAAATTTGCCACATTTTCCACAAGAGAAGCCAAACTACCTGTTATGTGAGCTATTAGAAAAAATATTGATGAAATACTACTATCAAAGACAATAATTTTGATGACACCCACTACACCTCTACACTTTGTTGTATGTTGTATACACTTACACCTATGAAAGTTTCCTCTTTCATTTACCGTTTCATCTTATCAAAAAGACCTTCCTAAGAATTGAGGTTGCAGTGTTTAAGCACAATAGTGATGGCATTTCTGCATCGTCAACCGGCAACACTCCTCTGCTGACAAACTAAACTCTTCCGAAAATGTTTGTAAATCTCCAACACAACGCCCGATGCCTAATATCAAGTCCGTTACGGACGTAGTACCTCTCGTTCACCATTCTAAAACATCGCATATCAGCATCAAATGAATGCTGCTGCTTCCCTGATAGTGTACGAAATTTTTTCAATAACTAGAGGAGTTGGGCGCGTGTGCGGCAGTGGCTGGAGGCGCCGCTGAGATCCACACGTGGAATCGTTCCCCGCGCCCTTGGCCCACTAAGCCTTCCATCCCTCTAGGTCGGCAAATTGGTACCAGACTCGTCTGAGAAGATAGGAGCACTGGCTCGATACATCGGTAGACCACCGCGAGTCATTGTAAAGGCCAGATATGCATTCAGTCACCTCCAACGGTGCTCGATAATGTCGAATGCATGACGCATCCCTCTGAAATTCATCAACGCCGAGAGCTTTTTTTTAGTTTTTAACTAGAGGAGTTATGGAGAACGGTTGTGAATATGACAGATGTATAGGAGACACTCTGTTTATTATCTTGTTAGAATAAGAAGACCTCTGTTCTCTTGGCAAGGATCTCCTAGATTCGCATTGTTTCTATTTCAATTAGTAATGTTCATTATGAGGTGTGATATACTTGTAGAAAAGCGGAGTTGTTTTCGTGCGCATATGAATTTAAAGCGAATATCAGTGAATAGTTTCTTCAAGTGGTAGCTTTACTGAATAATTAGAGGAACGGAGGTCATTACTGTAAAGAATGATATGCTTTGGGAAGCAAAAAATGTTGGTAAAACGAAAAGATCTAACGCTTGCTGAGAGAAAGCTCAGTTTGGCACAATAAACCACGAGAAAGGAAGTGCACTATGCGATGCATATCTCGTCCCCTTTGCTCTCTACTGCACGCATGCTTTGCATGGATTGCATCAGAAGCGTTATACGTTGAGTCAGAATATGATATTTCTTATTCAACTCCTAGTACAACGTCTGTATTGAGTAGGCTGTTGCCAGAACCATGGCAGAAATTTCTTTGCGATAAAATAAATCACCGGAAAACGAGTGGAAATCTCAAAACGGGTGACGTGTCTTCAGCGCGTAGGTTGATCTTGCTACGGATGTGTTTGTAGGATATCTCATTATTTGTTAGGCATTTCATCCAGTTTCGAATACAATGCACAAAATTGACTTCCCATAATTTTACAAGAGTTCAACCAAATAATCAATAAACACTATAGGGAGTTCGCTTTTGCCAACATGTTAGAAGCTAGGACATTTAATACATATAGTATACTGAATCGTAGCTATCCAGTAAACCCGTCGTACGTTTTTTCACCTGCCTTTTGTTTCGCGAATCTTCATTTGCTAAGAAACCGGAACTTTTGCAAGTGTTCGAAGAACTAGTAATCTGTTACTGGAAAGCCTGGTTGGTTTTATCTAAAGTGTGCTATCTGTCGATGTATCTGTGTATCCTACGATTCGCATCAATATTACAAATTTATCAGGCAAGCTCTTGGTTGGTATCCTTTTCTGATTAAAAGAACAGCAGGCAGTAAGGAAAGTGGACATTTTTAGTACTGGTCCGTAATGAAAGCAAAGCAACACGAAAATTAACATTTTTTCACGAGTTGATTTAAAGAGAAGTACTAAATCGACCATGCATAGACCACCATGTGGTTTATACACTGCTTCCTAAATTTAGCACCACAGACTTAAACTTTCACGTCATTTTGTCGTTGCCTTAGTTTTAGAATGGAATCCCGTTATCCTAAAACGGGCAAGTCTGGTACATGCAATACATACAAATTATACATTACATACACTTTGCATACATTAACATAAACAAACATGCAATTAAGGCAACAATACATACAATTTACATAAATTTTCGGCACAGGATCAGCTCCAGCCCTTGTCAACCAGGTTTATCATAGCAGTAAAGTCATAAGTAATAGATTTACAGTTGTGGTTCTAATTCAAACTCATAAATTAATGCTTAAGTCGATGACCATGAACAAGTTCATGTTGCTTCGATTCCTTTAAGTCGACAGTCGTCGAACTCTCTTTTAAAAATCTTCACTTTTCAATGAATGACTCTAGATCGGCACACTGTTTCACAAAATACCAAATGGCAGCTTGGTTCTGATGTCATCTCATTGTGTAAGCATGTCTGCAATATATTGAAAGATGGGAAAAGAGATTTTTCTTATAGTGAATGTTATAATGTTTAACAATCATGACTGAAAATTAATTCTCTTTCCATGCAGCTTATCGGGGAAGCGGATTTTGTTCAACTTTTCGATAATTATGCACCTAAGAAAAGGAAACATTTTAATTCGCAGAATTATTCCCTGAGAGAAAGTTCATGAAATGTTTTGTAGTTCTAAGTACTGTTATGTGATTGTTTCTAGGCATCCTTCGCAAAATTTGTCTCGGTATCACAATCCTCAGTCAACCAATGGACGTTCATTAGCGGAATACATGCAGGAACAAGAACCTCAGCATGGTTATGGATCTGATGAAAGCGAGACGATAAGCACTCATTCTGCGCATTCAGTACCAAACATCAGGTGATTTCCTGCGCGAATCTTCAATATCTGACCATTTAATTTATTCTTCTCATCTCATTAATTGCTCTTGAGGCATTGTGTTCAGATACCACTTATTTCGTGACTTGTCAAAACGTCGCAATTAGCACAATTAGATCCCCGTGCTCTCTGTCACGTTGTGCCTGCTCTCAACTTGGTCGGTTAGAAAGCACCCGTTAAGAGAGGACTAAGCAGCACTGAAGCTTTTATTAGTTCGATCAAAGATACCGTACTAAAAACAGGTTCGATCGACGATCCAACAAATTTGCTGGTTATGGAAAGATGTCTGTGTTTTATTTATTCGGTGTTGTCTACATTTGCTGGTCTAATGATAGTGATCTCGTTTCTTCCGGTTATTACTACGATTTCGTATGTGCTCATCAAGAAAACAGTGCATCAGTGCCGGTATTAGTAGCAAATCAATCCTGGAAATTACTACCAGATATTCGTGACTGTTCTTTTTTTCCCACAGAATACGTGTAAGCAGAAGAGAATAGAGATGAAATTGATTGTTGAACCATTTTAAATATTAGTTGAGTTGGAAGCCGCCTAACTCTTTTTTTCATTCCTTCCTTATACAAGTTTAAAAAGGTGTGAAAAAGTTTGGATTTAGGATGTAAATATGGTTTTCAGATCCGGGACCACCTTTTTAAGGAGCTGAATGTTGTCAAAATATTGGGAAAAAATTCTGATTACATTATTTCTTTTGATTTCAGAAACTAATTTGAAATTTCTTATATCATTTATAGAAAAAAATCATTCAGAACGATCAACCGTCGTTGTATGGCTCCAAACGAAGCTAATATGCAGGAAGCCTTACTTGGAGACTACATACAGGATGATGTTCCATCTGCATCCGAAGTTTCTGTTAAAGCATCGATTGCAGGACAAACTATAAAGGAACGTAAGAAGAGTATTATGACACGCTTCATACCCGGAAAATCTGGTGGTGCAGGTACGTCTTCACTTAATGTTCAGGTTTTCAACTGATATTTGTCCTATGTTCTTTTTTGTCTTGTAAACCGTGTGGCGAATCTCTAGAAATTTAGAAAATTATGGAGTTTTTTGTACCAAGTTTTACTAACGTATGAAAAGTTACTAAAGGAGGGAAGCGGACTGGGTTCCTACGTTCCGAGGAGGTGGGAATTCCCGGCAACATGTCTACCGATCGTGCACCTCCACAGCAGCCTTTTGTGCAGCATGCAAGCAAGGATTCCACTGATTCGGCTTCTGATAAGTAAGTGTTGTTGTTTTCTCCAGTGGAAGTAAAAGAGTATGCGGGTCGCACTGTTTTTAAGTTTTGGTATTCTTTATTGTGCCAGTTGAAGGTTCAGTTGAAATAGAAGTTGAATCCGAGGAAAAGGTTTTGCTGCTGTTCTAATTTCGAAACATTAAGTGTTATACAGATTTCTGTGCTCAGATCATTCCCTTTGACGAGTGATTGATGATAGCAGCGATGAAGTGAAAAAAAACATAGCCGAGAGAAAGGAAAAGTTAAGGCATCAATTGGTGCGGTGAATGGCCCGCAAGCCGCGGGAAAGGGTAATCGTGTGCTCGAAGCCTTCCTGAGGTTCCGAGTTTTGCTTATATCTCGGCATCCATATGATTGTATTTCATATCGTACGCTGCCATGACCAAGGATTAAGAAGAAAACAAAAGCTAGAACATTTTAGTTGTTATTATTCGACAAAGATCTTTATTGTGTTATCTTTGTTAAAATCTCGGAGACTGTAGACCTCTCAGCAGCATTTTGAGTTTCTTTAGATGAATGGAACCATATATGCAGTCTTGTAACTCATTTCATTGTAATCTGTTATCCAAACAAACTCGCGAGAAACGACTGCTATTCCAATACTGTAAAAGCTTGAATTTCTCTGCAATAATTCTGGACGAATGCAGGTTTATCATGTTTTTTCCGTTATTCTTCCATGTTTTTATAAAATCTGTGCAAATAAAGTCCTTTTCTTGTCTAAAGGTCTATAGGGAACTGTCTATAGAGAACTTTACGACACAATTTTCTTTCCGGTTTGTCGAACTTCTGTACATATATATATATATATATATATATATCACCTGTATCACCTGTAGTCCCGTTGATCGTCGAGTGACTCAAGCGGGCGCCAGTAGATCTTCCATTTTTCACTGTCGCGTCCAAGAGTAGCCCAGTGGGTTCTGTTCGGTCTAGGAACTCGTCGAGCATAGTATATTTCTTCTAGGCTTTTCGTGAAGAACTCTGATCATCGGGTCGGTGGTCTTCCTGCAGTACGTTTGACATCCCGAGGAATTCAGTCACTAACGGCTCTTGTTCGTCGATTGTCACTCATACGCATTACGTGTCCGGCCCACCTCATCTTGGGCTGTTTTGCGTACAGAACGGCATCTTTGATTCTTGATCGTTGACGGAGATCGAAGTTTCGGAACCCATCCCTTACTTGTATGAAACGAGATACTCCTACCATCGTCCTTTCGAATGCGCGCCCGATAACACTGAGTGGCCTTTCATCCTGTTTACGCAGCGACCAGGTTCCTGACGCATACGTTAGGGCAGGAAGTACCGTTGGGTCGAAAACGTGGGCACGGAGTCGGGTGTTCCTTGTTCTCTTCATTACATCCTCGATGCTCTTGAAAGCTCCCTAAGCCGCTCGTTTCCTTCTGCTCAGCTCTGGAGCTATGTCGTTCATCATACTGATTTCCCGAACTAGATAGATATAACTGGAGCATTCAGAGATATTCGTTCCGTTGAGCGTGAATGGCGCATACGAAACCAATCCGTTCTTCATGAGCATCGTTTTTGTCAGATTTAGTTGAAGACCAATCTTTCCACAGGCTCTATCAAAGTCGTCAAGGTTACGTTCGGCTTGGCTGTCTGGTGTTATAAGAACGATTTCATCAGCAAAGCGAAGATGGTGTAGCTGCCGATCGTCGATTTTCACTCCCATATTCCTATTCCAATATTCGCATGACGTTCTGGAGGGTGGCGGTAAATAATTTTGGGGAGATGATATCGCCTTGCCTAACTCCCCTTTTGACGTCAATGTTAATATCGTTGTGGAATAGTGATATTTTGGTTGTGAAATTTTTGAACAACTCACGAAGAATCTTTATGTACTGAGTAGGGACTCCTTGACTATCAAGGGCTTCCCAGACTGCGTCCATCTCAACTGAATCAAAGCGCTTCTGTAAATCGATGAAAGTGAGACAGAGCGGTCTTTTGTGCTCTCTCCATGCTTCAGTGAGTCTTATTATCGTGTGGACGTGCTCCATCGTACTAAATCCTTTTCGAAACTCTGCTTGCACACTTGGTCGCCCTTCGTCCAGTGTTCTGTCAATCCTGTTGAGGATGACTCGAGTGAAAAGTTTGTAGACGACAGACAGCAAGCAGATTAGGCGATAGTTGCCGATATCGTGCAGGTCACCTTTCTTGAACAATAACACGGTCATGCAGGTCTTTCACTCAGTAGAGACATTGTATTCAGACAAGTAGCGCGTGAAGAGCCGAGCCAGTGTGTTTACTAGGACTGGCGGGAGGTTCCTCAGGTGTTCTGGTCTTAACCTGTGCTGATCGACCTGGTGCTGATCGTTTTTTCACCCACAAAATGGCATGTCAGATTTCGGAGGGAAGAACTAGTGGCACGACATATCCATCCTTCTTTGTTTCATATGACGGAAGGTGGACGTAGCTATCGAAGAGGTCTGAGTAGTATTCGTGAATCATTTTTTCCATTGCCTTTCTGGGCGCTGTGATTGTTGTCTGGGCGTCGGAGTGGAATCATTTTGGTCTTGTAATTGGCGAAGCTTCGGTGGGCTTTGCGAGTGCTTTTCCCAGCCTCTGTAGCTTCGACCGTTACTGCTGCTCTTCTCTCTTTAAAGTTTTCTTTTGTCAACTGTCTGCATTGTTTTGCATGTTCGGTCATTAGTTCGCGGTTGCCTGGATCTCTTGTGATTTCACGCAGGCGTATCACCAGGAGTGCTTCTGGAGACAGAAATCTCTTCGTGACTTTCGAACTCTCAACTTTCACAGCGCTAACGTGAAGATGTCGAATAAGTCGGTCGTATTCTTCGTTGATGTTATCGATAACGGTATCTTCTCAACAGACGACTAATGAATTGAATGAGTCCCAGTTTAAGATGGTTCTGGTACTTCGATTTTTGAATTTAGCGGATTTTTCTCCTTTCTGCGATAAATGGAATAATGCACGAAGGAGACGGTGGCCTGATCTTGTGTAGAATTTTGGAACAGCAGCGACATCGGTTAGGCAAAACCTTCGGTTTACTGTCATGTCGTCTATTTCGCTATGGTGCTTTCTACTGGAAGGCTCCCACGTCCAGCGTTGAGGGTGGGGCTTCTGGAATTGTGAGTTACCATGCATGGTCTTGGTGGTTATGTTAAACTCAGAAAACCGCTCACCCTGTTCGTTCCATTCTAATCCGTCGGTCCCAATGTATGTGACGTACTTCAGGCCTTCTTCTTGGTACAATCTTGGCGTTGAAATGTCCAGTGATGACCATGAAAAATGTATCGTCTTTTCTTTAGAACTCCAAGTCCATATAGAACGCTTCGACTTCTTCTTCGTCATAGTTTGATGTCGGCGCGTAAACAACGAAGATTGTCAAAGCTGGAAATGATCCAAGTCTTTTTAACCGTAAACGTCGATTCGGGTTGCAAGTTGTTCGAGCAACTTACATAGACATATATGTCTATTTATTTACATATATACATATATATATGTATATATATACGGCTTTTCAAAATTGTTATTTACTGGGTACAACGCCGATTTGGGCTCCCTGTATCAACCCATTGATGGATAATTGCTGATGGCACTGTTCGATAGAACTAGCTGAGAGACATGCAGAAGAAATAACACGTATGGTATAGTGGTGAATGCGTTAGTCCCTGGAAAGGGTAACAGCGCGTTCGTTTCCCAATGCAAACACCTGCGGTCCGGAATTTTCCAAATTTCTCAGCATCATTGTGATTGTTATTTGTTCTCTGTTATTTTATTTATATCCAGATGTTATCGCACTAGAAAGTGAGAACAATGGCGCATTGCTGTAAATTATTTTCCTAATGGCACGAATTTCCCATTATTAGAACGCTGGCTACGACGAACACTTTTCGGCCGCTCACACGATGAGTAATATGCAACTCAAGCCAGTCAAACGCGCTTTTCCCACCCTTATCAAATGGTGCGGCCCTTTTAGCCTGTTTCCTTTGCTACAGTTTCCTCTATGATTACGCTTTTTTATCAATGACTTCTGCGTCGTTTCTGTTCTACATCTCCTGTATGTCCATCGTTATATGCTTTTGAAACATCCTATTCATGGGTTGTGGTGAAAAGAGAATCTCGTCCTCCAACCACGTTTCTGTTAGCGTTTGGTTACCGATTTCGCAGGGTATATTTATTTCCACCTATTCGACACTATATCCTATAACTTTGCTCGTCAAAATAACCAGAAGGGAAGAAAAACTCACGCCCGTTGAAGCGATATCCATTGGCCTCTGCCTTATGATGGTAAGTACTAGACTGCCACCGCTGCGATATTACTAGAGTTGCGACGTGCTGTTTATACATCTTTTTGGGCACCGCGTTATGCTAAGTACAACTTCTTCGTATTTTTGTTGAGCAAACGCGAGTTGTTACTATTCTTTGTTCACAATTAAGCTGACGTTTCGGCGGATTTCGCCTTCTTCAGAGCCTGGAAAGGTCAAGTTGATAGCAATCCGCTCGGCCAAACGCCTCCATAACCAAACAAAGAAACTCTAAACCAAGATTTAAATCACACTGAACACAGCTTTGCACACTCACCGCTTTCTATGAGGTTTCCACTAAGTATGTCACGTAAAGACCAACCGCACAGAAATCACATGGAAGCATAATGTGCCCCTCCTATCAGAATAACAGTCTTATATACTGCCCTATATCACGCGTGATAATGAGGCATTCTTCCCTGCGGTTCATTTTCGGATTTCTGGCATTAATCCAGAATGCCTCGAGAGTTTTGCGTGTTTGTGTCCTTGATTCGTGTGCGAGGATCGTAACACATACTTCAAAGTCAGTTCAAAGTTAAAGAATAATAACACCTCGCGTTTGCTCAACAAAAATACTAAGAATTACTTGATCAATGCCGAGGTTAATAGAAAGTCGGTCGTGGTAGGTACTGCTAAGTAAAACGTCAGGAAACCTGTTAAGTCACCTTCATTTAAGATGTGGCGAAAGAGACAGGCTATAGAATATTAGTCTGTTGGTTGAACATGTCGACAGAAACTACATGAGATTATGGACTGCAAAAACGTCTGGTGATTCTCTCGTGCCTTTTAGCACGAAAACAATATTCTGCTAATACATTATACATGAGAGGCGCAAGCGTAAAAACGAGGATTTATTGCGACAGTGTACAAAAAGTGAAGATGTATGAGTTCAAGCGTCTATTCAAGTGTGATTCAAGTGGATATAGTACAAGTGCCTACGTGTCAAGTAGCGTTCTACGCGAGGATTACGATCAGCAGTCACGGAAATGGAGACGTTGTATTGGATGTTATAACAAATTTTAGAACAGGATGCAGCTAATATAACGAATATTTTTTTTACATTGCTTTAAGAATCGCCGTGGAATATTTTAATTGGAGAAGTCATTTTTTGTAAAATTCTACGTAAAGATTATAAATTCCAAAAGTGGCAGAATTATAATATTTGTAATTTTTTGTAAATTATGCCTGGAAATGTTTTTGAAAAAGTAACAGTTTTGTTGATTACTGGGTATGTATGAGGTATGAGGGCGCGAATGGGGCAGTGGTCGGAGGCGCCCTGCAACAGACGTGGAATCGATCCGCGCGCCCATGGCCCTCCAAGTCTTCCATCCCTCCGGGGTCGGATAATTAGTACCAGACTTGTCTGGGAGGATAGCAGCACTGGCTCGATACATTGGTTGGCCACGGCGAGTCATTGTTACAGTAAATGTTAGATATGCATTTAATCACCTCTAAACGATGTTTGAATGAAATCGAATGCATGGCGTATCCCTCAGGGATTGATCAATGCCGAGAACTTTATCCTTTTTTTGTTCAGTATGTAAAAATTACCAATTTCAAAAATTAAAGAATGTGAAGTAGATGTTTTAGATCAAAACATCTGCAACAGCATTGAAAAATTGTGAGCATGAAGGTTAAGATGTGTATGTAGGTATTAAGATAATATTTACAGAGACTCACTCCGAAAACATACTGATGAATAAGCCATGTTCCAATGTTCCCTCTGCGAACACCTCCGTACTAGTTTCTTTACTGAGTTATAACCTCATCGGACAATAAATTGTCCATAATTCTGCAATACGGCACAAAATTTCCTACGTGATGCGTTCAAGCCAGGAAATAAGCTCTTGCGAAAAACTAGACCAAAATAATTTTCTTTCGAGCCGCACCTGCCGTAACATTCACGTTTGATAACCTACCAAATGATTCCAAAAGTGATGAGAAAAAATCGTTAAGTGCAAAGATAAACGATTGAGGACAAAGCGAGTCATGCATGAATTCCGTNCCCCCCCTGCCGTAACATTCACGTTTGATAACCTACCAAATGATTCCAAAAGTGATGAGAAAAAATCGTTAAGTGCAAAGATAAACGATTGAGGACAAAGCGAGTCATGCATGAATTCCGTGATTTATGTATGACCCATTTCCTTGCCATTATGTTAATAATCATTACAGATGCCAAATAAGAAGTGTTCAAGCCATATTTTATAGCTGGCTGCCCGTGTTGCCGGACGGTCCTCTGGGAGCGTTCGTTGACAACCTTGGACCAGGGCAGGTTGTTGGCCGACAGGTGCTGGCGAGTCCACTTCTCGGCGAGATACAGATAGGAATTATGGCTGGACGATCGGGGATCGATGTTGAAATCATTCGAGCGAAGAATCTCGTTGTGAAACCGGGAGTAAAGTTTAGTCCTGGTAAGTCGTTTCAAATAGGCCGCACTCAGAAACTTTTGTAATTAAAATGTTTCAGCTCCGTATGTCAAGGTGTATCTGATGGAAGGAAAAATGTGCATCGCAAAGGCGAAAACGAATCCAGTCAGAAAAACAACCGCACCGCTTTTCCAACAGCATCTAATATTCAGTGATAGCCCAAAGCGAAAGATGCTTCAGGTTAGACACGCCTTTGTAATCCATGGTTAACATTCCATAGATCAGTGAGAAGAAGCCATGAATATTATAAAAATTTTCAGGTAACCGTGTTGGGCGACTATGGAAGGATGGAACGGAAAACTTTTATGGGTATCGCATTAATTCGTTTGGACGACCTACGCTTAGGTTCGGAACCCATCATTGGGTGGTATAAGCTGTATCACAGTTCATCATTGGCAGGAACTGGACCAGTACGCAAGGATTCCGAAACTTCACTCGTAGGATTAAATACGGCACAGTAATAAAGCAGGTTTAGATCAATACTCAGTTTAAGAAGTACAAGAGCATTCTAGTTTTTCCCAAGTGCGATTTTCAAACTGGGTCATTGGTATTCCATCATTCTCGTTTCTCAAGGTTATTGATTACTGCTAGTATGTAATTACGTGTATAGGGATTCATCCCTGTGAGTTGGTTTGGTCACATGTTACCAAATTATAAGGAGTCCTTGTATTACCTTTTCTTTTTCCCTGGCCGGCAGGATGCATTAAACTGGCTGTAACTTGAAGCCAGATGACATAGTGTGATCTATTTCTTGTTTCTACAGCATTCACATTGTTTCTTTGTGTCCACGGTAGTGTTTGAAAATTTCTGATACTAGTTCTAGTTGTAAGCTACTTCTCATTTCCTACTGAATGTATTCACGCTCAACGGCAACGTTGAAGGCTTGAGAGGGTGTTCATATTCATAAATCGGGTTAATTCTATGAGCTACCACAAATGGTTTTGATTTATTTTTAGTGCTGGTTTTCTTTTTTAATCTGACTCTTAAAAAAGCATTTTGGTACTCAGGGGCACGCAGTATGTAATTGTTTAACGATTGTGATATCTTGTGTTATGAGCAAAATTGATGTCAATCAGTGAGTGGCATGTCTTAACAAATCGAATCAGATTTTTAGCGATTATTGGAGAAGCTCTGCTCTCACAGTCTCTAGAGCTGATGATATAGTACTCAATACCCCGACGCATAGCTATAAATAGCTTGATGTCCAGTCAATAAATCTGAAAAAATATATGCTTTGCTTTGTTGCTGAGATATTATTGGTTGCGAGTGCTGATAAAGTTGTTATATGGAGAATTTATTGTGAATAAAATGTTTTTATACAAGCGCAAATGGCATGATGGGCAGGAGAAAACTTCTATTGTCGTTAGGACACACTACTATAATACTGCTGTAATAAAAATAATATAATAATATATGATATAGTATAATATAATATAGGACAGTAATATAATATAATAAAAGGGTTAAAAGGATAAAGCTCTCGACGTTGATCAATCCTTGAAGGATGCGCCATGCATTCGACTTCATTAAGTATCGTTGGAGGTGATTGAGTGCATATCTGGCCGTTACAGTGACTCGCTGTGGCCAACCGATGTATCGAGCCACCGCTATTACCCTTCCAGACAACTCCGGTAGCAATTTGGCGACCGCGGACGGATGGAAGCCTTGGTGGGCCATGGGTGCGGGGATCGATTCCACGTGTGTGTCCCAGTGGCGCTTCCAACCACACGCTTCCTAATATAATATATTAATAATAAATAATATACTACTATTAAATAATACGCCACTATTACCACAGTAAAAAATACTTCATACTTACTTAAATATATCATTACTATATATTATTTCTATTATTATTACATGACCTGACATCACATCTATCACAATCTGCGGATTCCACCACTTCTTTTATTCGATTCTTTTTCTCGCATTCACCATGGCCTTAGAAGTTGCTATATGCCTGTCCGACTGCTTCTCGATGATTTTTTTTCATCTTTGTCACGAATGCCGTTTGAAAACTACTCGAGTCGATGCTCCAGATGCTCCATAGCATCGTGAGATAACCGTGATAGGGCGTTTACGCAAAGACTGGAGGGATTCAGCTTGTCACAGACTTGTCTAGTGCCAATTTCCCTACTCGAGCATATGAGAGGCTTGGTCGACTTAGAGCGGAGTCGAACCATTTTTATCGAACAGGCGGCCTGTGCATGTTGTACTGTTCGCGTAATGAGCTGCATGATTATCACTGCACTGCCTACTCCTTATAATCATTTATAAGGAAGGTGAATCTCTGATGAGGTGTTAAATAGTTGGACAATGCTGTTGATTCCTTGTAGGCCGCTATCAGTAATCCGCAAATTTTTCTCACATCCAGTTCCGGTTTTTTTCATTTTTCTCCGAAGTACTATGAGCGGGCCTGCTTTGAAAAATTATATCATACCATCCTCACTTGCAACAAATAGTAGGAGCGCCAATACTTCAAAAAGGAGTCGTAGGTTTTTTTTGCAAATATCCTATTATCATTCCACTTATGCTTTTCATGCCCTAAGTGAAGGCGTACTCTTCTTGTTTTACAACATTGCACAGAAAGTAGGAAATTTCAGTTCTGTAACTTATGGCTTTTCAACGCCTTCCTACTTTCGTTCGGCTGGCGACTTTGGGCAATCAGCATTAACCAAATACACCACTATTTAAGTGTCAGATAAAATTCAATATGGGTGGTTTATAGCTAGAACAAATAAAAGCTGTAGAGAAACAAGGTTGATTTATAAGGAACTCCTTGTGCTTAGTGAAACAGACCTTATCGAATAACGCACTAAACGTAGAACACTGGAGCGCCTATGAGGCTCATATGAATGTGGATTTCCGCTGATTCTGTACTCAAAATTTCTAAATACCCTTAGATGAACCACTATGTTCATCGCGATCTTTGATGCAGCCGTTTTTTGATGAGGCTACTAACGAAGAGTTGTTATATTTCTGTGTCACGTGGAGTCTGAGTAGATTTTGCTTAAATAGTTTCTAAATTCATTATTCACTGAACGGGTTTTGTAAAATAGCGAAAAAATGGTACTGTATGCTTGGTTGTGTCACCTTTCCGTTATATTCCTTAAACTGCCAGCACAGTCACTTTTGTTCGAGAAGGTGTTCTCTGAAGAAAAAACATATGCGCCATGGAAAAAGTGGCTACATGGTATCTGATGGGCGAATCTTCCTTCATAAATCGAATGACTGGTCTTGGAATACTTCTGAATAGTCGGTCGTAAAATAAGACTAACTGGATCGGAAACCTCAAATGTATATGAGGAATATGGGTGTGGATGAGTCATCCGTTTGGTGTAAGTTCAAAATTAAGTCACGGTGCCCTACACTGCAGCTCACAATTGTTGATCTTCCTTTTCCATGGAGATTCATTCAAACAAATCTAGCGCCTTAGCCATGGCGCTAAAATTTTCTTGCTTAGACACATAAGACGGCGAAATGTTTTTCATTTGTCGTGATACACAATGGAAGCAATGCGGTCTGGAAGGCAGTTTTTCAGTAGCTCCTAAAGAAGAAGACTTATCCCACCAGTTTTTTAGACTTTTCGCTCTATAGTTCTGTTTTCTAAGTGGTGTATTCGATTCAGCTTTAATTTTTCTGATCTCTTGTAAGTCGTACGTAAAGTATACATTGGCGAAACGGTGGACCACTGTACGTCCATATAAAAGGACATCTAGTCGGTAAACTTAAAAGTTAGACCATATACTCCACAAGGTCGTGCGTGGGTCACAGAGTCATTGTGGAGAAGATTTTGAAGTAGAAGTGACCATTCTCGCACAATCGAAAACTTCGGCTTGCAAAACTATGGAGGCATCCTGGACCAATTCCAGGAATTTGTTAACTGTGACCTGCAGAGAAAGAACGAGCTTTTGACAGGAAAATGGCCGCTTATATAACATGCCATTATGGGGCATAGCAGATCACGCAGTTTCACCACATCATGCAGCTCAACGACATTTTCTAGCTTAGAACTTAAAAAGGAATTTCGCAGACTGTCACCGAAAAATATATGGCCGCATTTTCATGAAGAGCGTGGGTGCTTTTCGTTTTTTCCCGAATGAACAAGCGGATATGATCTTGGCGTCAACCCGGTCTATTCGATATTAAGAGAGATAGTAGAATGCTTGTGCGAGCTCATTTAATTGTGCAGCACCAAAATGGCTCGAATAGCGAAAAAATTGTACTTCGGCAGGAACTATTTTCTCTAAGGTTTCAACAAGTATTTTTACTGTTTTGCAGTTGAAGCTATGACTTCTCTCCTAGGTATTTTCCGTACAGCATTTCATGTCAGGAAATGAACTGTTCCATCAAGTAACCCTCGCATTATTGGATATTTGCGGGAAATTGAAAGCGTTTTGTGAAGATTCAAAAACAGCAGTAAAAGTTCTTCGAAGAAGAATTTATGTGTTAAACATAGAAAAAAAGTGAAAAACGAAGGATAACGAAATTAACTAACTTGGAAAACATATAGTAAACAGAACGGATACCTACTTGTCAAATAGCGTGATTTATAGATCGAAATATCTCCATAGAAGAAACGATAACAACTGTTATACACGGTATTCCCATCGAATTAAACTATCATCTCTCACGAGTGCACATCATTCATTAATTGGGTAGAAGGCGTTGTCAAATCGTAGAATGGAAAAGCAGTGCAGAATGGAGAGATTTTTAACAACTCAGATAACAAGCTACTCTCAAAGAAGGGCAAGTAGATTATTATTGCGAGAATGCTTTAAGAACCGTTCTAACCGCGAAACAACCTAATTCTAGGGTCAAATGCAGCATTCATAGAGTAACCACTGAATTGCATCTATTCTGTGGACCTTAAAGTGAAGCTCTTCACGCCTTGGGTAAAGAACAGGAAATTTGGAAGCCAACTGAAAGAGGATGGCAGTTTTCCGCCCATGTGCTATATATCAAAACCTATACTTTAAAAAACAGATAACACTGAAATAGTTTCCTCTTATAGGGTTGTAACCCGAAAGGTTAAATGGACTGAGTGCATAACCAAATTTTTTGACAGCTAAAAAATTCAGCCCCATACACCGCATTCATTGCATGAAGTGTTGTATTAGCTTTCACTTATCAATAATAACACCATATTTTTCAGCAATCCAGTAAGGAAATACGAATTTGAAAAGGATCAGCAGCAGATAAGAAAGGGAGTCGTGAGCAGACTAATATATTAGAACGGACGGAGGATTACTGTTAACTCTTCCGCCACAACCACTATGATTTCTATAATAGAGATAGGGGTATATCTCTTATGATAAGCCAGTCATATCATTTACGAAGACACCATTTTTAAATCATTTTTTTAAGGTTTTGTCTGAAGCACAGAGCCGTTCTAAAATTGATCAAACGAAGACAACTAGATAATATAAGAGTTCTTGCACAGAACAACCGCCGAGTACTG